AGAAACCAGGAAAAGAATCTAGTATTCCACTTTGTTAGTATTTTGTTTGCTTTAAGTGGATATACTCTTATAAGGCTAGAGTAGACATACTAGGAATAACAGTGACAAAAAGAAATGGCGAGAGCACACACTTCCTGGAAAATGGCCATTTCTTAATCCGTGAAGTAAGAGCTAGTGAAGGGGTTGGATGTCTAATCAATAAAAACCTAAACTAGTAGAATTAAGGATTAAGAGTATATCACCGAAAGGATTTTAAAAATAAGGATGACAACCGACGAGAAGAAACTAGTCAACATCTTTGTTATATACGGATCAAACGATACAAAAAAAAAACTAACACCAAGGACATTTTTTTGCAACCTTTGACAATTGCGAGACCTTAATGGCAGAGTAGGCGTAAAAGACAAAGATTCCTAGGATGTACTATAGGGTACTATGTACTATGTCCTATAGGGTAGTGTTGTAGGGAAATATGAAGAACTTCTTCTTTTGGTGCCTATTCGTTTCGAATATTGGCGATAATTCTGGCTATAATTATTTTATTAACTGATGCTTTAAATAGATTAGTCGTTGTTGTAAAGAACCACTTTCACAGGTTTTTTAACCATATTATTCTTCTTCTCCTAATTCCTCCCTTTCTTAATACATTGCCTTAAAGGATTATTTTCAGTAATCTGTATTTAGTGTCGTTTGTCAGTATATGTCCGATATATTCTAAATTTCTCCTTTTAATGGTATACTTCTTCCATCAGTTGCATCAGTCATATTCTTACCTTCTTCGTTCTTCATAAAACTGTCTTTAATGTCGTCTATCGTTTTATTAAGGGATTATATTTTCTTTTCGATGCTTTTCGTTGTATTATCGATTTCTTTAAATTTTCTATTTATTTTTTTGGTAACTATTTCCGCTCTAAAGAGGTCAGCAGAAATGCAGTTAAACCAATCTCTTAAAATATCCAACCAGGAGATGCGTCTTTTGCCGCGACTCCTTCTATCCTGTATTCTTCCTTGCATTATTAATTGGAACAAGTTATAACGCTTGCCCCTCATAACATGTCCCATATATTGCAGTTTTTTTACTTTAACCGTATTTAAAACCTCTTTATCTTTTCCGAGTTTTCTTCAACTTGGTTCTATACACGCCCACTAAAGGATTGTGGTCAGATTGAATATCAACGGCTGGGTAGGTTTTAACACTATTGAAAACCATTTCGATATCTTTCCGAAATGTTCCGAAAGTAACGGGTATAACATGGCGGCTATTGATAGTTAAAGTACCGAGTCATTACAGATATTAAAAAGTAACGAAAATTTACATACAGTTTCATAAATCGCCGACTGATTTTAGTTTTAAAAACAGTCCGTATAGAGGTGTCCAGTGAAGAGACGTGTCCGTTAAGAGAGAGTTTAGTGTACTGTATTTGTTTGTAATGGTGATTAGGAGAATAAGAGTAAGAGTAAGTTTTTTTTGATTTTTTAATACTAATTGAATATTCGACTAAATAAATTAAACTATTTAATCACTTAAGTATTGTTACACTTTGTTTAAATCACTTAATTCAAAAACCAACTTGTTTACAATACTAAAGTCAATGAGAGTAATTATACGAGTATACTTCAAAATCTGAATTACAACTATTCTATAAACTATCAATTCTATATTTAGATCATAACTTCATATTTAAATCTAAGGTGTATATCTGTCATAACAGTATTTTAAAAATGGGGAGAATTTACCATTGTACAATTCAGCACATTGGACCACTTAAGTCGACACCTTAAAGCGAATTTAAAACAGTCGTATATTCGTGGAATGGAGTATAAACAAGATCTTTAATTACTTACCTACACAGTCCTTTTTTTCTGGGGTTTTGTCGTTAATGCATTTTCGATAGTTTTCAAACGGTGTTTTTTGGAGGTTGTTTTCACTTGCAATCGTTTCAACTAAATAAAATATTGTAAATGTAATTAATATTAAAATTAATACATAAAGAATAATAAATTATTATAAATAATGTAGAAAAAATTATGAAATGATGACAGGAGTGAGTATAAAGATAGAAGAACAATCAAGAGAACTCATAGAGAACAAAGAGAATATAGAGAAGAAATAAGACAGTTAAGACAAGAGAATGTAACATTAAGAGAAGAAAACACAAAACTAAAAAAAGTAGTTTTTCAAATAGAAGAACGGCTTGGAAGTCTGGAAAATGGAAAAAGGCGTTTAAATATAAGCGTAAAATATACAAGGCCTGAACATAGATACAAATATCCCAGAGACTCTAAAACATGAAATAAAAAATTTTATGCAGGTAGAATTAGCAGTCGATGTTCAAATAGAGAAGGTTGTGAAGCTGAGAGAAAAAGTCTGTCTGGTTGAGCTTGAAAAGGAAGAGGACAAAAGAAATGTCATGCGAAACAAAAGCAAATTAAGAAAGTGAAAAAAATGTCTAGTTTATATCAATGATGACCTGTCAAAGAAGGATAGAATTGTACAGAAATATGTCAGACAGAAAGCGCAGGAACTAAGAAAAGAAGGGAGAAAAGTGAAAGAAGGATATAAGAAAATATATTCCTACCAGGAAATATGGCGCTGGGATGGCATGAACCAAACGTTGGTGGTAGAGACCAAAGCAAAAAACTAACCACCAGCATGAAAAGGAAAGTAATGAAGACGAACAATGCGAAGAAAAGGATTACGAACTATGAAAACGAAACAAAACAAGACAGTAATACAAAGGTGAAGCCGAAGAAAGACAAGATACATTTAGCTACATGGAATATCAGAGGAACCTTTTATGAAGGTGCGCTAAAAGAACTAATGAATGAGGCAAGGAAGTATAAAATAGATTTAATGGCTCTAATAAAATAAAGATAGAATGCTTGGAACTGGTTTTTTAGTAGCTGAATGTATCCAGGATAACGTGATATTTGTTCTCTGTGTGACTTTTATTCCTATCTCTGATAGGATGTGTTCAATACGAATTAAAAGTAAGAAAAGGAATTGGAGTATAATCAATATTCATGCACCGTCAGAAGACAAGGACGACGAAATAAAAAATCTTCACTATGAGCAGCTAAATGATGAATACGAGCGCCTACCTAAACGTGATGTAAAAATAATAATGGGTGATTGGAATGCTAAAGTGGGAAAAGAACCTCTGTACACTGCAGTAACTGGTAACTATAGTAAACACGAAGTAACAAACGATAATGGTCAAAGACTTATTGGATTTGCCATGGAGAAAAACATGGTGGTGAGAAGCACCCAACTAAAACGAAAAGAAATATACAAAGGTACGTGGGTCTCCCCAGATGGAAGGACGGTGAATCAAATAGATCATGTCATGATTGAAAGTAAATATATGAATATCATTCAGAAGGTAAGAAGTATGAGAGGAGCTGAAATCAACTCGGACCATTACCTCGTTAAAGTCACATGTGGGAGGGAACTGGAAGAAAAAGAGAAATCGAACAGTAAATCGAAGAGAAAGTACAATATTGAAAAACTTAAGGAAATAGAAATAAAAAATAAATATGAAGAAGAAAAATAAATAAAATTCTACAACAATGTGACCAAAATTTACAGACAGATCAAGCCTAGGAACAAATTAAATCTGCTGTAGGAGAAGCTAGCGAGAAAATAGTTAAGTGCGACTCCAAGAGAAGTACAAACAAAGATTGGTTTGACGAAGAGCGTCAGGCTATAGCAAAGAAAAAGAAAAAGATCAGGCAGCAAATATTAACAGATAATGGAGAGTGTAAAAACAAGAATATCGAATAATTCGAGGAAGATTGAAAGCTCTCTGTAGAAGGAAAAAGAGATACCACAATGAGTTGAAATTAAAATAGATAGAAGAGAAGTTTAAAAACAAAGAGGTTTAAAAACAAAAATAAGCACCAGTGCTTGACATTTGCTGACGATTTAACGATCCTAGCAAAAAAAGAAAAAGAATGAAGAAGAGTTGTGAAGAAAATCATCGAAGAAGCACAAAAATTCGGATTGGAACTAAATGAAAACAAAACCAAATATGATCATGGGAGGAACAGAAGGGAAAAAAGAAGACTTTAGTGTGAAGTCTGTAAGTGGTAAAAGCTATAGTTTTAAAAGGGTGGACAAATTTGAATACTTGTGTGTAGTTTTCGATGAAAATGGAAATGAGAAATGGGAGCTGGAAGCTCAACTTCCGAATACTACTGAACTGAAAATACGTTTTTAGACAAGGTAAAACTCAGAATATATAAAAAAGTAATTCGACCCACAGTAACATATAACAGAAGATAGCTGGGAGAGAAGAACCAACAATGAATTAATGGTTTTATATAAAGAACCTACCATTACCAAGTTCGTCAAGTCACAAAGAATCAGATGGTTGGACATGTGGAAAGAATGGAAGCAAACAGAATGCCCAAACTAGTAATAACTAGAAAACTAATCAGCCCCAAAAGAAGAGGTAGACCGAGAACGAGGTGGATTCGTAAAGTGGAGGAAGACCTTAAACACGTTAAGGTGAGGGACTGGAAAAGAAAAGCACAAAATAGAAGCGAATGGAGAAATATTGTCCACCAGGTCCTTCAGTGTAGTTAAGAATGTTGTATACACATATTTAAGTTTTGTTTAAAATAATTGTATTTAGTTAATATTAGGATTATGTTTGAAAAAAATGCCCTAGGCCTTAACGGCCTGTTGTGCGTAAAAATAAAATAAAATAAAACTACAATTCAGATATTTGTCTACTGCAATTTCTACAATATTAGCAGATAGATTGATGAATTAACTTACAAGGGAAATACTTATTTTCAATCCAAAAACTCCTGCATAAGTCGCTCTGAGAATAACTAATAAGGTTGAAATAAGTATAAGCATATGGCAGGAGCCCTGCATTAAAATTAAATCTCAAACGTCTTTCTGCAGAGTAAATTGTATTTGAATTATGTTAAAAAATATCTACTTACTGATTCTTACATTAGCAACATAAATAAGATCTTTAATTACTTACCTAGACAGTCCTTTTCTTCTTTGTCGTTAATGCATTTTTGATAGTTTTCTAACAGTGTTTTTTGAAGGCTGTTTCCACTTGCAATCGTTAGGACTAAATAAAATATTGTAAATGTAATTAATATTAAAATTAATATACAAAGAATAATAAATTATTGTAAAAGCAGATACCGCCAAATCTATTAAGAGCCTAATCGGTTTTATTGGACATTCAAGCATGCTTATGGGTATGTTTCAATGAGTCATAGCAGCAGCAGAAAATTCGGTGTATTGGGTAAAGGTGGTTTGTTTTAAAAGGAAGATCTACATAACTCTACAGCAGCTCATATTGCTTCACAGCAATGTGAGTGCTTATTGTTGTAGGCAAAATAACGCAGTAATTGGAATTTTTAAAATTTGCCATATTGACCATTTATTGATGAGTTCTATTTCCATTTGTATGTGCCATAATTGTGCCAAAATTTGGCACAATTATATTTAGCTTTATTTAATTTTATTTAAGTTTACTTAATTTTACTTAGTTTTGCTGTGTTTAATTTAATTTTATATAATTTTATTAAATTGTATTTATAATATAAATATAACAAGCGAGTCTTCTACAGCTGGCGCCGCTTCTCGCATCCTAATTTCCAGCGTTTTCTGTCGAAGCAATCTTCAGTTGTTAGATCTCTGGCGGTCATTGCATCGTCGACATCGTTTCTCCAGGATCGTCTTGGTCTACCTCGTTTTCTTCTAGTTGGCGGAGTCCAATCTTCTATTTTTTTGGTCATCTATTTTCCGGCATTATGTGAAGGTGTCCATACCAGTTAAGTCTTTGGGCTTCAATTGTGTCTATTATATCTAGATCGATTTCCATTTCTCTCCGAATATCTTCGTTTCTCACCCTATCACGTCTAGTGAGCTGGCAACATCGTCTCCAGTAATTTCTCTCCAGTATCCATAATTTATTTTATTTTATTTCATACAAATATTTTACTATATAAATTAATTAATTAATATTTTAAATACCAGATGAAGAGTTTCTTGTCCAAGAAAAATATTCCTAATTCCTGCGATGAGTGCTGACTAATTAGCCTTATAAGCTGCACATTAAAAATCCTGGGAATGGGTACAAGAGAAAGAACTGTTTTCCAAGAACGGTACTATTATAAATGAAGGGAATATAACAAAAGTGAGTTTGTATGTTTCATAGTTTTCCAAAAAACATTTGGTTGAGTCCAATTCATAAACATAAACCTAGATCCTAAGGATATTACTCTAATTAAATCAATAATCTTTACTATCACCACAACTGTTTAATTAATGTATTAACTAATATTTTAGGAAGCACTATGGGAAAGAACTGTAGGTGTAAGCATTGAAGGGAAATGAGGGAAAGAGGAAAGACTATTGGGGGAAAAGATTTGTAACGGACAACTCAATGTTCACAAATAAGAAATTAAGTGTGGCCATTAGATTGTAGTTCATTGGATATTAAAATCCCATTCCATTAAAAATTGGAGGTATTCGAAATGTGACTCTACAGACTTATGCTTAAAATCCCTTCGACAGTTGAATCAGAAATGAACAAGTGTTAAGAGGCATTGGACACAATAGAACACTTCTCAAAACAGTTAAAATAAAGAAAAACATCATAATCTGGGGTACATACTTCGCAATGATAAATACTTTCTCTTACATGCAATCATGCAAGGAAAAATAGATGAAAAAAGGAAATCTGGGCTAAGTAATGTCAGAGATTGGACTAACCTTATGTAGAATAGATTTTTTACATTGCAAAGAATCCATTATGAAGCGGTAACTTGAAGAAGTTCCCGTGACATGAAAAGAAGTAGGAATATCCACTACACTCATTGAAATTTAAAGTATAACTTGTACTCTCAAACAAAAAATGAGGACACGATAGGATATAAAAATTATTAAAATAATATTATCATCGACTCTGAACGTTTTGGCACACTATCTGCTAATACTATTAGTTTATAGTAGAACAAAATCATAAAAAACTTACCTAAATGAAAAAGAAACACCGCTAAGAGAATGTTGGAGCTCTTTTGCTTCATGTTAGTCAATTTTTACGACAATATTGTCTTCAATTATTGTCTCTCGTTACTTTGGATTGCACTGTTGTATCTGCGAAACTACTGAACAAATTTATTGAGGATTTACAGATAAATACGTTATGCATGGATCTGATACAGCACTGCGCTATCTATACCTAATATTTATTTATTATATTTATTAGTAATACGTTATGCATGGATCTGATACAGCACTGCGCTATCTATACCTAATATTTATTTATTTATTTATTTATTTATTAAAACTTACAAACACCACCTAGGTAGTAATTACATGTAAGATTGCTCATTACTTGGTATAACAATATACACACAAAAAATATAAAAAAAATACAATATACACACAAGTACAAAATAAAAACACAGAAAGTAAACACATTAAAAAAGACACAAGTTAATAAAATTTTAAAATTGAGTCCATTATTTATTTATTCATAACTTTTTTAATATCCGTTTGATATTAAAATAAGGCTGCGAGCGATTTTTCTCGAGAGATAAATCGTGTACGACTGAACTACAAAAAAATATTTCAAACCCACTGAATATTATTGGAGTGGCCATACCTAACAAATCGCTTAGTGAAGAATCGCTCAGCGGCTAAGCGTGTCGGTCTGTTTCCAATTAGATTTATTTCTAAGCGACTTTATAGTTCCATTTGGTCTTCAAACTTACCAGCACGAACTTATTTCCGAAGTGCAAAGTAGACCCATTTTATGGCAGGATACACACAAACATTTTAAAAACAAAAGTGTTACAGACAAATTATGGAGAGAAGTCGGACTTGCTTGTAGTGTAGAAGGTAAGTTATATTAATTTTTTAAGAAATTATTTTGAGGTTATATTATACTAATAAGAACGAAAGTTTGTCATTTTTATTCATATAAAATAAATTTGTACTTATACGAAATACATGTGATTATTGTTGTTCTTATAAGTATTCTTCAAACGTTTCTCTGATTTGTTTAGCTTATCTGGAAGATCGATTATTATTTCTTCCTTGTCCTCGCTTTACTTGAACAGCATTTTGATTCGTTTGTATAGTCATGTTCTCCATAACAGTACAATAATCAATATCAGTTTCACCGTCGTGAATTCGTATAAAATCATGGAGTATGCATGCAGATTTTATTAATACGCACGCTTTATCGGGATATGCCTCTACATTTTTTGATAAAAAGCACCATTTTGAATATAAAATTCCAAACGCAAACTCAATGCATTTTCGAGCTGTAGATAAACGGATATTGAAATATTCTCTTCGTGGTGTTAGCATTTTGCGTGGATACGGTCGCATTAAGTATTTTACCAAAGGGTAAACTTCATCACCAATCAAAACATTAGGTAATTTTATGTATTCATCCTGTTAGTTCTTGATCTGGGGGACGCAAAAAGGTTTGGCTTCCAATAAGTTAAATAAGTTTGAAGGATAAAGGTTACACCATCGCTTTGCTTTCCCCTGCCTCCTATTTCTATAGCCAGAAACTTTTTATTAGCATCAGCCACACCTTGTAATACTACCGAAAAGTATTTTAAATAGAAAATAACTTGATCCTGAGTTTGGTGGACATTTTACCAATTTACTCCAAATTATTACGACTACTATTACTACCATTACAAAAACTATCATGCTTATTCTACACGTATTGTACAATCGGTGTTGGTCTCTATTTATGATTTCACTAATTTTTTAACAAACTTGAAGCCGACGATCAGGACCATCTTCGTTTAATTGATGAAGTAATCGTATTTCATAAGGGTGAAGTTTATTGGATTTTATAATTCGATAAACATTAGATACTGATACACCAGATAGTTGTCTGATAGACTGTCAATTATCCGTTTGTAAATGACCCAATACCGCCGCTTCAACGGCTTCATTTCGCACTCGACGAACTTCGTGTAGTTTGTGTAGTTAACGTCACCTACAGCTTCAATCGTATCAGTTAAAGGTTTAACGTATTGGTGACTCTTGTACATAAACATTTTACAAATACTATTCGGAGTATATTCTACTCTACGGATGTGAAACCTGGAAATTGACAAACATCCTCACAGACAAACTGCAGGTCTTCGTTAACAAATGTCTACGAAGAATTCTTCGTATATTCTGGAATAATACCATCAGAAACGAAGATCTGCTACACCTGACCGAACAAAAGAGGGTACAAATTGAAATTAAGTCCAGAAAGTGGGGTTGGATCGGTCACACACACTCCGAAAAAATAGTTCCAGTATCGCAAAGACTGCCCTAGAGTGGAATCCCCAAAAGAAAAGAAATAGAGATCGCCCAGTACAAACTTGGAGAAGATCCATCATGGACGAGATAAGACGCCAAAGAAAGTCTTGGAATGAGGTGAAGGTCTTAGCGCAAAATAGAACCAGTTGGCGTGTTTTCACTGAAGCTCTATGCTCCACTTAGGAGTTCAAGAACTATATATATATATATATATATATATATATATATATATATATATATATATATATATATATATATATAATATAGAAAAGAAATTTAATCTTTGCAGATAAGTTAAATAGTAAACTCTTAAATATTGGGGAAATCTGCAAGAAAAACTCTAATGTGTATCAATTGTTTCGCCGAACGTTTTCGCCAAAGAGAATTAATTTGGCTTCTTCAGGGCTGAAAGGAATAAATTATAATTAGCTACCATATATTATCTAATAAAAAACATTTACCATACCGTAAATTTTAGAAATGTCGAGTTAGGATGTTAAAAAACTTAGCTAGTAACAACATAGTGGTGTTTTTTTGTTACTATGTGCAAAAAAGTTTTTTTTGTTAATGTTGTAAATGTATGGTAGCTTGGAACTTAAAAACGCAAAGGTTTACCCAAGGTTGATCGAAAAACCCAATGTAACTACATTTAAAGGAAGTAATAAATAGAAGTAAAGATACCAAGAACAATACAACATCACAAATAACTAACTTGACTGATATATCTATTAACAACTAACGTACTTTAATAATAATTTTCATTAACTAAAAAAGATAACATTCCCTTGCTTTTCTTGGATACATCTCAATAAGATATTATTATAATAATACATGAACAATATACAAATTAAAAAAGAATTTCAATTAAGAAAATTCTAAACTAATATCTCCCCAGACTGAGATCTAACTTCATCGGTTTTACCAATGAACCTTAACGACATAAATATTCAAAAGTCTTCTTGTAATTGTCAGCGCTTGCGTTCTATGAAAACAGAACCTCACATTCTAACTTTATAACAATCAAAAATTTAGTTATTGCCGACAATTCAAAGAATTACTTCCTTTAAATGTAGTTACATTGGGTTTTTTGATCAACCTTGGGTAAACCTTTGCGTTTTAAGTTCAAAGCTACCATACATTTTAACGTTAACAAAAAAAACTTTTTTGCACATAGTAACAAAAAAACACTTTTTAAAAAACACTAAACTAACTCGACATTTCTAAAATTTACGGTATGGTAAATGCTTTTTATTAGATAATATATGGTAGCTAATTATAATTTTATTCTCTTCAGCCCTGAAGAAGCCAAATTAATTCTCTTTGGCGAAAACATTCGGCGAAACAATTGATACACATTAGAGTTTTTTTTGCAGATTTCTCCATATATATATATATAATATATATATATATATATATATATATAATATATATATATATATATATATATATATATATATATATATATATATAAGGATCACTCAGACGAGTGGTGGTTCTTATATCGGTCTCTAGGTGGAGAAATAAAAGACAAAGTTGATAGGCTACTTTATCTATTTTGAAGCCGTTTCGCTTTCGAGTTTTGAAAGCATCATCAGTTCATCTAAAAAATTTTACAATATGAGAACCACACAATCATGGAAACGATGTTAATTGTTACCTTAAAAAGATATGTAGCAGTCAATGTTATTAACAAACATGTGAATGAAACTAAGTAAATGGACATAATACGCTGATCTTGTATAAACAGTTAAGCAACTAACAACATATATGAACTTGTAAAAAATTAGCACAGCAAATGACCATGTGGTCTAAAGTAAATTCAATATTATTTAATGTTAATAAGTGAGTAAGTAAATAACTTCCAACTATTTAATGGATATTAAGCTTTGATTTTAACTTTAGGTAGCATTATAAGTGATATTAATAAAATTTTAAAAAGTAGTAAAAATGAAGTTACCGATCAAAGCCCTATGAATGTCGCCGAGAAAATGGCGTTTAATGAAACAGGAACGAACTAAGCCGCAAAAAGACAGCCAACCTTGAGGTCAAAATACTTTTGACAGATCAACAAGGTGTAGATACCAACCCAAATTTTGGGCGGTTAATTTAAGTTTAAATGAGTTTGGATGACTACCCGGTTGCAAAGGACAACACAGTGAAAAAAGTTGGTAGTGTAAAAACAACTCCCCATCACTAATCAGCCCAAATTTACAAACAGGGAAATTTGCATTTACCCGGTCCTTTGCAACCGGGTAGTCATCCAAACTCATTTAAACTTAAATTAACCGCCCAAAATTTGAGTTGGTATCTACACCTTGTTGATCTGTCAAAAGTATTTTTGACCTCAAGGTTGGCTGTCTTTTTGCGGTTTAGTTCGTTCCTGTTTCATTAAACGCCATTTTCTCGGCGACATTCATAGGCTTTGATCGTAACTTCATTTTTACTACTTTTTAAAATTTTATTAATATCACTTATAATGCTACCTAAAGTTAAAATCAAAGCTTAATATCCATTAAATAGTTGGAAGTTATTTATGATTTTCTTGGTTCTTACTCACTTATTAACATTAAATAATATTGAATTTACTTTAGACCACATGGTCATTTGCTGTGCTAATTTTTTACAAGATCATATATGTTATTAGTTGCTTAACTGTTTATACAAGATCAGCGTATTATGTCCATTTACTTAGTTTCATTCACATGTTTGTTAATAACATTGACTGCTACATATCTTTTTAAGGTAA